GACCTTCTTCACCCACAAACACAGAGCACTTTAAAAATTGAGCTCTGTAGTGCCTTACCAAGTATATGAGGTGCCCAGCAGTTTTCCAGTGGATGACGCATTGCGTTCCTCCTTTTTAGCTTCACTGGCAAGACAAGAAAACTGGTAAGAGAGGCATCAGCCAAGAAAGGGATGCCTATAACTGGTGTAGTCATAGACATACAACACTATATACCCTAGTGTGTATAACCAGTACATCCAGATCATGCAGGGCTTTGAACTGTCAATCTTTTCCATCCTTTTGTATTTTTACATACTCATTTTAAATGTGCACATTTAAAAACATTTGAATGACACACTGTAGTTTCCTGTGGTCTGTTGTACTTAAAAGCAAACTATCACGTGTGGCTGCCAGGAGCCATAAAAAGAAGATATCAGCATAACTGAGCCTTTTTTTTTTCCCTTAGAGTTGCAGATATACTGGTAAATTTGAACACATTTGACTAATCAGTACAGAGTCTGAAGTCTGCAGTTTTAGCATTCTGGCTCCATTGCTGTCATTAATTCTTTTATGAACTTATAGAACTGCATTATTTATCTTACCACTGTGTGATATTCCTGTCCCTTACTGATTACAGAAATATCTTAAAAATATTTTTCAATATTAATGTTCAAAGTACTGTCATGATTTGATCCATTTATTGTGAGTTTATTGCCTATTTTTGACTTGGTTTATATCAGGTTATAGTTCAGCCTTTCAGAGACTATGGCTGGTTTCCAAGTATAGGACTGAGACCAAGTTCATTGTTTTATTGCAGAGGACCCCAGCAGCATTTTTATTTTGCACTGTTTTTTTTCCCCAGTTGTTCTTCATGCCTCATTGAATCTTGCACTGATTTTACTGTTCATTTTAAGGCTTTAAAAAAAATTTTGCCGTCTGTTAAGCACTTGCCTTTCCATTTACTACAGGTCAGAATTTGACAGCAATTTTTCACTGTGCACTGAAGCATGCATCATATTAAAAGATGCACAATAAGCAAGAGGCTTTTCTTGCCATGTCTCTGTACTGATACCAGCTCTGGGAATGCCTCCCATTGGAAAGGTCTTAAAGCATTTTACAAGAAACATAAATATCAGCCACATTTTACAGACGAGTAAACAAAAACACTAAGGATTCAACTGCATGATTCAACTACATCAAACAGAGAACACAGGTCTTCCGTGGTATAGCCCAACCTTTAGCATCTAGATTAAATTTTCACAGATACCATATCTGCTTTGTGAGTGTAATAAAACAAGAATGTTGATATGAATACAGTCTGATACTTATAAATAGCCAGTTCCTCCTGCATGCTATTGACAAGCTGCCTCTCATATCTGTAAAAAATTTCCTATTCAAGTAGGGGGGGGTGGGTTTTTTTATTTGGTTTGGGTTCTTTTGTGGTGTTGTTTGTTTGTTTGAAAGCAATTAAATATTTCAGTAGTTCAATAGTGGCCCTGGTGTGTGAACACATGCTAGGTCTTCACACCAAGGCGGTAACCACAAGGAAGTTTAAATGTAGTGACTCACTTTGTTGATTGTCTAGCTGGATTCAGTATAACAGTTCAAGGAAGAGATGTGGATTTAAAAGGCTATCTCCTTGGCACTCTTTACTGGTGATACAAATCTGTTTAAAAAATCCTTGAAAAAGAAAACCTCTTTTGCCTCCTGGCATTTCCACATGCAGTCACTCCCTTTATTGCAATTTGGAGAGTTTAGCCCAAAATGTGCATCTGTTGCATAAGAGAGAAATATCATTCAACTACATAAGCACTGTTTCTGAATATGGACTGTTGCTAGATTCCAGATTTTAATGGACAAATCAGTTGATAAATGGTGAAGAGTCTTCCCAACAGAAGTGTCGTATTCTGTTTTCCTCTTTGTGGTTTTTACTTTTTGTCATTCTGTTGCTTAGCATATAAGTAACTCAGGGTAGGGACCTTTGACTCATGTTTTTGGAGTTCTGTCTTCAACTGTCGTGCAACATAAATGTACATCTATAAAGTTCAAATAAAACGTTAGACTACACATGGCAAATTTTTTCAAATGGCACTTATTCTAAGTCACTTTAGTCTTTACATTGGCATTGTTCCCAGCCTATGGTTGAGTGGTTCTTGGTAGTTGACTACACTATGCACTTTAAAGAGAAAGGTAACAAAGGTCAAGTTGTTCATAAAATCATTAGTGAAATATCAGAAACAATTTAGTCTAAATAAAGTATTTCCCTGAAGATAAGTACCACCCATTATAAAACATTCCTTCCAACTGCATTTCTATGCTGTTGAATTCATCAGATAAGAATTGGACAGTTGACAGAAATGAAATGCTGATATGGAAGATACATATTTCTAGACTATTTTCTCTATAAAAGCAAAGGATAAAAGAGGTCTTTGATTTTGGGAGAGAGTGAAGGCTTTTTTTTTAAATATATATAAACTCAGACTGAAACTAATTTACCACAATTTCTTGTTGTGACTGCAAATTTAGCTTGGGTTTCAAGTTAACGCCACCTTAGTTGGCAGGCAGTAAATAAGCTCAATATGGTATTGTATGTTTACGTTATGACATACATCGTTGTAATAGTGGTATTCCTTGCAAGTTGTGAAAATGTCCCAGCAATTTACCTCATTGAGTCTTACCTGGTGATGGAACAATTTGAGAGTAAGGTTCACCCCTTTTCTAGCTTTTTCCTGTTCTTTGGAAAAGCAGTTTGCAGTCTGCTCTTCCATCTTGTCCTTCAATCCAAACACGTGCTCTTCTGATGAAGCAGGCAAGAATCCCTTCTTCATTGATGTCCTAGGTGTGATGACCTGTGATAGAAAAGGAGCAATTGATGCAAAGAATTGAGTCTAGTGAGGGAAGCAGAACTTGATATGAGAGATTAATGAAGCCTCTGGCAGGGCTCAAATTTGTGTTTTTAATATGGGAAAATACAGCTATTGAGACTGACTTGGTCTCAAAGGTCTTTATAATTCAGATGATTATGACCACTTTAGGCTATTTTAAAAGCATGAACTGTAGGACTACCCCTGGTTTGCAGAGCCAAGGAGGATTGATGTTTGTAGTTCTGTTGTGCCTAAAGATTCAGTATGAATAAAATATTTGACACTGGTTAAAGGCATATAATACTGGATGGATGGCCCTTTTATGGTTTTATAAAGAATTTGGTCGTTAATAATTCTGGGACTCATGATATGTCACTAGTACTAAAGTACGTTCTATTTTCAGGAACTCAGTTTATCAGATATTCTTATTTGAGAGGTTTTAAGACTCTGTAAGCCTTGAATGACAAAAATGTAGTTTCTGTTTAGATTAGTGTTTGATTCATTTTATTATTATTCTATTAAGCAATAAAAGCCTAACTGAGGCTTGGGTAAAGCAATGTTTGTAGATCTTTGGTTTCATTTACAGCATTCACAGTTCTTACTGAATTAGTTTTCAGAATCCAGGTGGTAGTTATTAACACTGGCTGACATCTTTATTATTAAATTATAGAGTATTTCATGATTATTTCTAACAAATGTTTTGTTGTACAGACGACACATTCATTGCAAGTCTTGATGAGACACTATTTTGTTGACATTAGCTATTAAAACAAAAAGGTTAACATGATGGATTGTAGCAAGTGCAATGCTATAAACACTCCTGTTTGGTCCCATCCAGATCACTTCAATATATGCTTCAATATATGCTTCAATAACATTTCAGTAGATGAATAATAATACAACAGAAGGTTTTATGCTCTAGTACAGCAAGGATCATATAGGACAAAAGGCACTCATGCTTTGAAATGTTATGCTTTTCAGAAAATAAAATTTAAAAAAAAAGAGTTTCATATTTACAAATGAACTGGCTCTTTCCACGCCTTGATTGTACATGATTACCAGGGCCTTGGAAGTCTTGTGTGCTCTTAGATGCGACTTTTTCACAGTTCCTTGTAACTGACATTACATATTGAGCTACTGCTGAGTTCCTGGTGTTTTTCTTTGCAAGCACTTTCTCTAACTGGTTTGTATGGTAACAAGGCTGTAACTCTAAAACAGTCAATCCAAATCTCTCCTTCCTTAGTTCATTTTTTTCCTTCATCTGCTCCAAAATTAAGATTTATCCTGAGGCTTTTGTCATGGTCGGTGAGACTTACTGACCTCAGAATATGTGGTCATTCGTTCATTCCTCACTAAAGGAATATTAACTGATTTGATCAGGACATTATATGTCACCTTACTAAACTAACCACTTTGTGGCCGGGGTATCATTCAGACAGCTCTCAGACACAGTGCTCCCATAGCTTCCTTACTGAAAACAAAAGCAGCCCTGCTACTTAAACACTAGCTACTATTTCATTAAACAATTTATACCAGCCTGGATCTTTTTATTGTAATGAAAGGTGTACACTGATGTGACAGAATACAAATGCGTAGATATTTTTATACTTCCATGACACAAAGAGTGATGTGTTACTGGTTTGCTAACAAATGAAGGTCTTTCTAACCAAACAAGACACTCTGACTGCAGCTTACTGCATCTCTCTTTATATCTTGATGCATAGCTGCAATTCAAAGGATGAATTGTGGCTTATAAAATTGGCTAAGCTGGAAGTTAGGATACTTTTCCCCTTCTCCCACAAATGTGAATAAAAACTAGGTAATTAATGTACATTCATTTCCATGTACACAGTTTTCCATAGGTGTATTATATACTCCGTTAGTCACATTAGGATCCTCTGTGGAATGGAAAAAATGAAAGCCTAAAGACCACTCAGGCTGGCATTCACTTCAGCAGAATATCAAATTAAACTAAGTTTAAACATGTTCTTCTAGAATCAGGGCAGAGGAGACGAGTAATTTTAATAAAAAAATCTATTTACCTTGTTTATATAGGAGAATAGAATCTAATTTATTTGTGTGCCCATCTGGACTAGATTGCTCATTTTAAGTTAATTTAACAAATGATAGACTGCTACTGGCCTTTTCTTTCCCAGGAGAAGAGGTTGACAGACAGCTGTGTAGAGACGCTATCTACCCAATCCCGGTTGTCTGCGAAGCTCCATGCCCGAAGGACTGTGTGCTCAGCATGTGGTCCGCATGGTCCTCCTGCTCACACACCTGCTCCAGCAAAACCACAGAAGGGAAGCAGATGCGTGCCCGCTCCATTCTGGCGTATGCAGGTGAAGGTAAGGTCGCATACCCTCGCAGACCCTTGTTTGATTGTGAATTCTCGACTGTCTTTGCAATGTCAAAGTAATTTCTTGATCAACAGAAATAAATTATTAGATGGAGGTATGTTTTTTTAAATATTGAAAAAATATTTAAATGCTTATCCTGCATTTACTTATGGTACCTAAAGCTGTTTTAAGAGCTTTAGTTTGTTTATTTCAGTTAACATTGCTATTTTTATTATTTTGCATAATGTTACTGTTTTGATTTTTAATATATGGTTTTCCTGTTTTCCATTACAATCAAACCAGGTGAACGATTTATCCTGTGCAGACCTCTATGAAAGACATGTGCAGAGGATTGTTAGTAACCCTAACTATAATTTAGGTCAAATTTGGAAGGATATAAGTATGAATGCTGAAAAGATGAGATTTTTAATGGATTCAAATATTAACAAATGGCTTTTGTAGCTTCTTAGCTCGAACTGGTGACTAATGTTACCCCATTAACCTTTTGTATTCATAGTCAGACTGGTTTTACCCTGTAAATCTCACTCATGTGAATGGTTTCCATTCATGCAAATGGTCCTTGTGCAGTGTCTGCAGCAAATGCAAAGAGAATACATAGCTGAAATATAAAGGAGAAGAAGAAAAAGGTTTTATGGACAGGTTCCTGTCTATTCTTTGCTGATTTTCCATGCTTCCTATAACTTGTTTTGGTTTGTTTTGTTCTTAAGTATTTTGGGGAGTAATAGAGCAAATGTATTCTATATGTAACACGGTTCTAAAATGGCAACATCAAGTGTACCAGGGTTGAAATGGTAAAATGCCTTGTGCAACACTGAGAGCAAGGAGACCTAGTCACCAAAGACTACTTAGAACACTTTTACTCACATGTATTACTGACAGTAAAGTTAAATGCCTTCAATATAAAAGGATTACGTGCATGTTCTTCTTTAAAACTGTTCAGCATTTTATTACTTCGAGTTAAGATGAAATTTAGCTGAAAAGTGAAACCTGTAAGGTATGGAAGAAGTGAATCACAGAATCACACAGAATCACTAAGGTTGGAAAGGACCTTCAAGATCATCAAGTCCAACCATTAATCCAGCGCCACCATGTTCCCTAAACCATGTCCTGAAGCGCCACATCCACACGTTTTTTGAACACTTCCAGAGATGGTGACTCCACCACCTCCCTGCGCAGCCTGTTCCAATGCCTGACCACCCTCTCGGTGAAGAAATTTTTCCTAATATCCAATCTAAACCTCCCCTGGAGGGGGAGAATATCTGTTTCGGGAAATGGAAAAAGAAAGGTGCAGGCTTCATCATACACCAAAACACTTCTCTATTTGCAAACACAGTTAATTTCATTGCTAAAAGTATATTGTGTACTTGGCAGAATTTGGGTAATTGTAAAAAAAAAAAAAAAAAAGGGAAAAAAAAAAGTAGCAGACCAGGCACTTTCAACCTTTTGCCTGAAAGGAATCTTTCCTACAAGTGTAATAGACAATCAGAACTATATGCATTTTAGTAGGTGATTGAAATAATAAATGACTTAGATGGATCTATGTAAGAAAGTAGAAATGCTCTTAAAATTAGAAACAAAATTGGTTTTCTGTTGTTCCTTTTTTATAGTGTGTTAAATGGACTCATTTTGAGGGAACCACAGAGCTACATTTTCAGATGATAATTCAAATAAACATATATTCATGTGCTTTTTGTTTTTCCACATAGGTCAAGATAATAGATTTTCCATATACTTATGCAGTTAGCTGGAGACAGAAATTTAACATTCTGACAAGCATGCCACAGAAGTGAAAAACTAAATTACTCCAGAAAATAATTCCATTTTCTTAGGCTTCTTTTTAAAAAGTACTTATTTTATCTAACTTTAGTACTTGACACATCTTAGGATAACTTACAAAGCTGCAGATGCAGTAAAGCCGTTAAGCATAGGCTAGATTGTAAGTATATGAATTTTATTTATGTGTGTTTTGCAATGATCAGAACCAGCACGGAGCGATCACAGAGATTGACGTGTCTCAGACCACACAGGTAGTAGTAAAGAGATCCCTAAACTACTGCTGAGAAAGCCAACACATTACCTAGACATTGTGGTGCTTCAGTTTTGCTCTAACACTGGCCTCTTTACCACTATTCCAAGGTGAGGTTATTCTGTGCTTTTTTAAGGATACAAGCTGGTATGTCTACCTAGTTTACAAGAATTCACTCACATCCTGGTCAGATATCTTCAACACTGTGCTCCTTTGCACTCTGTACAAACTCTGGAGAATAAAAATGTATAAACAAATAAAAGAACCTTCCAAGGCTTAACATATCGTTACAACTCTCACTGGAAGGTACTTTTCACATTTGCTTTTATTATATTCAAAAAGTATGAGTTTAGCTTCTTTTTTTAATGCTTCACTGAAATTTGTTGTTGTCATCTTTCTCCTCATATGTCTCTTACGCCTTTTAGTCATTTGCTGCCTGACAAATAACTGAATGACTTTTCATCTCCAGAATTGCATGACAGAGATCAGCCGTTGTCCCGAAACGGAAACCACTGATTGTGTTGGTGCCGGGAGGTCATATTATGTTCTGGGGGCATAGAATATATTAATGTATCTGAAAGTCTGTATTCTGCTGATACAAAAAGGAACCTCCACATGAACCTTTTTTGGGAAACATGCAGTTCATAGTTCTATTCATAGCTTATAAAAAATGTACATTACTGTTGATGAAAACTCTGTCAACATCATGTGTAACTAAGAAACCCAGGTCTCATAAATGTAAGACCAATAAATCAATTTACACATTAAAACTGAATTCTGAAAATAGCTATCAGTTCTGTTCAGGTGAACAGTCTCAGAGGTGTTTCCTTTTGGATTTTTTAAGCTTTCCTTGAACTGTTAGTATGAGAGACAGACCAGGTTAGGTAAGCCATTTCATAGCAATTCCTGTCTAATATAGCCATGATATTTGAGAGTTTTTATTCAGAACACAATAGGACAAATATATTGTACATAAGTATATAAAATTCCTATGATATCAGGATTGGACATTAATGAAGGAATGTGCAAGTCTGTTGCCAATCTATGAGTAAGGCTAAACTTGGCTTCTAAGATGACCTAAGGTGCCCAGATCTATCACTGTGAGTCCTTGATCACATGTATCCTCCTGCTAGTCATGGAGAATTTAGTCCACAAACGTGGCAAGATCAAAGCATTGCAGACATTACATACACAAGGAATATCACAGTCCCTCAAAGTATCTGAAGTGCTTAATTCTTGTTCACTGGTGTACTTAAGCATGAACATCCCACTGAAATTTTTGAGGGTCTGTAAATACATATGAAATCGGTTCTTTTATCTGGAATTCAGATGGCTTCTTATCAAAGTATTGTCTGTGATTATTTCAGAGAGGAGAGAAACTGAACAAAAAATACAATATTCTGTCATTTTGCTTGTTAATGTTGCCAGGTGACTGTCCATGATAGAGTTATGTCATTTCACACTTAAGACCTTATTTTTCTTCTTACTTCACAGCTGTCTATGCTGCTGAATTGGTTTGAAGAAACCATCAAATTAGCATAACTGGCCACCAGGAAAGAGCCACAGTATAATAAAATTTCTTGGATGACTTAGAATAGGAATAATTCAGCAGCATTATAATAATTCCTTAGTGACAAGAATAACTTCAACGGAAAAATTGAAGCCATATGTAAATTACAGTAGTGACAAACTTTTCTAATGAGCTCTGGGATATGACTGCCCCTCCAGCACCACGCTGATTTCTGCCTGAGCCAGGAGCTGACCTCAGCCGTACACCCTCTCATCAGCATTTCCTCATTCAGAACAACACCTCTTTTGCATGGTCAAACCATAAGCTGCAGAGCCTCCAGCACAGTGTGGCCATGCACGTCTGGGATGGGCTTGTTTACTTGCATTCAGTAGAGGGAGAGGAATCTCTTTCCTCAAGATAAGGACTTTCTGTGGTTTGTGAGATGACTCCATGTGAAAACTGGTGTCAAAATAACCATCTTTGGTATCTTTTCTCAGATCATTGTCCTCAGCTTGAAGGTTTGAAAGGTGAAGTGATTTTTATAAATTTGCCTGTCTGTGAGCCTGCCTGCCTATAGTGGTAGCTCATTTGTGTCACTGTCAAATACATCTTCATGGTACAGTAAGAAACTCGGGAAAGTCATTGTCTCAAAATTTAAAATGACAGCAGAGGACATAACGATGTTACCTGATACATCATACAGTTATTCTGGATAAGTCTAGTAAAGGCATCTCATACAGCTCAGCCTATCTCTGCTGAATGTAGGGTTTGATTATTTCTGGGTTTTTTTTCTATTTAATATTTCTGTTAACTTTTTACTTCCTGCTTACAATAAACCTTATATAATTAGTAATATGTGCTGACTATTTTACATAGGCCATGACCTCTGACTAAAAAGTACTAAATAAGTCTTAATTTTTCAGTAAATGGTAAATATGCAAATTGATTCTGTATTGCTTATCCACTGTCGTTGATTGACACTGCCAAATCAATGTCATATAGCATAAAACTAATGTTGTGGACACATTCCAAGTTTTATCCGTAGTAAGTGACTGATACTGGCTTTGGAAAAGTAAAGCTTCAAAAACCCAAACCACAAGTCAAATGCAAAGAAGATTTAAAAGCTTAATCTAGTAAAATGAGTGAAGGACAATTTAAAAAAAATATTCTCTTAGAGCAGTGATTCATATGCGTGGCAATGTCTTACTGTGGCTATTGTATGTTCATAGATTAGCAACGTATAATGGCAGAAAGACTATTTAGTATGACCTCATATATCACAGACTGTAAAATATCAATGAGTTGGATAGTATAGAGTACCAGTTGTCCATCTTATCAGGTATTCTGTTTGACAGGGGCCAATAGCTCATATACTTCTCATCTATCTGCAAGATTGATTTACTGAACGTGTAAGGAATAGCTGGATCAAAGGAGTTTCTTCTCAATTCTAGGCAAATTATGGTTCATATGTTTTAAAATTTTATTCCTGTTAAAATTCCAGTGCACTTTGACTTCAGAGTTGTAAAAGAGGAGTTACATTTGGGGCTTTTGAATGTGTTTACTCTTCTTATGCTTGTTGGGTTGGTTTGTTTTAAATTTTTGTATTTTCCTGGCTTGAAATAACAGTGCTTGGTAATTAAATCTGAAAGCATCGAATTGAGCAAAATGCTTATTCAGCCAGGGATCAGTTTTGGAGAATACAGGGTTTTTCATGAGTTTAAACTGATTTCAGCTGAAACAGGAATAAAAAAAACCACCTAGTTTTGGAACTAGGGAACTTGAATTTTAAAGGCTAGACTTGCAAAGTGACCTGGCACCTGCATGTAAAGGTGAGGCAGGGGAGAGGATGTTACAGTGCTCCCCTTTTTGCTCAGGACCCCTCAGTTGAGATTCCTGCCTGAAGTGTGGGGTCTGGGGTTCAAATCTTATCTGAGAAAGGACTTGAGGACAGACCTCTCATGTCCCATGGGTGCACCCTAACTCCTGTCCTGTTGTGTATTATAGGACAGGTTTGCTTGATTTGTATAACTGACACGCACCAGGGGAGGGAGCATGAATGTCTGCAGAGCTGGAACAGGAGACCTGCACCAACAGGGCAGTCGTCGTTCTTACGTTAGCGGCCTGCACGTACTGACCCATGTCTGGTTTTGGGAAGTGAAGCTGCCTTGAGGATTGCCTACGTTGTTCCTACGGCAAAGAAGAAATGAGTAACACCTCACTCTTTAGATAAAAAGAGGCATCTCGGTCACATCTGTTTTCTCAAAGTTTAAGATTATTCCAGCTGTTTTCAAATGCATATACAAAATTACGTGCATTTGTAAAGTGATTAATTACAATCGTCTTAAACGCTTTAATAAATGTTAAGCATTTTGAAACCTGGAAGTTAGCAAGACAGTGTCACAACAAAGACTTCTAAAATACAATCCTTGAATATCCTGGAGTGAGATGTCTTACCCATTACCAGCTCCAAATCAGGCAGAAAAGCAATCTAAGCGTATGACAATTCTGTTAAAGCTTCAGGTAGACTACCCTCCATATCTCTGCTATTTTATGAGTAATATGCAATTCCCTCTGTAAAGCTAGCCTTTCATTGCCAAGTGTCCTTTGCTTAAGTATCCAAAACAAAAAAGAAATGTTTCAGCACCAACCGTTTTTTGTACCTTGGAATTACTATTTTTAACACTGCCAAGCAGTTATTTACAGTCATCTGATCATGTATTATATGAAAGGTGTTTAGTATTATAAGTCCCTTTTTCTTGTATTCTGATAAAATTAAATGTCCTTTTTTTTTGGTGATACTCATTAATTTTTATATTCCTGTCAAACCTGTCCTCACTTGGTGAAATGCCCTTAAAGTTGAACAACGCTGATCCTGTTACCACTATGCAGATGTTGTAGAGGGCATCTCTAACTACCAGTTTTCCAAGCCTGTCTTCTGTACCTGTCTCAATTTGAGGGAGCACAAGGGAATGCTTGTGCTTTCCTGGAGAGAATGACACACTGATTTATACATAAATAATATGATTTTATTATTGCAAAGGTGTGGTACTAGTGGTAGCTGTTTTATATTTCAGTAATATTATTTCCACATTTTGTTCATTCTTTACAGTTTTTAAACTACTCATTTAATCTGAATAGAACTGAATTCCCACTGAGCTGCAGACATTCATGCCCCAGTGTTTTTCATTTACAAGTCAATGTCACTCTAATTTTTTCCCTGAATATACATTCTTGCATAGCTGTCAAAACTGAATCTAAGTTGTCACTTTATTCTCTCAAATGCCTTAGGAACTGGTGGCTATGGCATCCATTCCTGGGGATACATTTCTTCCCACACACACCCTTTTATGAATTTGCTTAAATATTCCCCTTGTGTTTCTTCTTGAGCTAACATCAGATGGAAATAATTAATTTAGTTGCCTTCCTTACCTCTTCTAAATTCTCCTTTTTTAACCCTTGTATTGGGGGAACATGTCTAGATGTCTCGTGAATTGATTTTCTCTCTCGTGCCAAATAATGTATGACTTTACTCTCTTTGTTTTTTTTTTTTTCTTTTCAAAATGCATTCACTTTCCTAATTTCCTTGTTTATATTCCGATCTGCTAGTGTTAACTGGAAGATTTTTTATTTCCTTAAGAAAGCTGCTTGAATAACTTTTTGAAACTTATTACATAACAGTAATTATGTTTTACCATTTGGTTTTTTATTTCCTTTTTTTTAGGAAAATGCATATGACGTTTTGTCTTGATGCTTTGCATATAGACATATATTTTAAGTAATTCTGATAGATTTGAGTTGCATCACTTCTGAGGCATAAAACAATTTTATTCCAGTCATTGTTTAATTACATTCACATGTTTTAAGGTTTTTCTAATCCTCTTTTGTAAAACTAAAGATTAACTAGTCTTTGCTGTGACATTTCAGTTAATACAATGTTTACTGTTGCTTGGTTGCATAAATATTTTTAGGCTAAAGTCAGAAGTTAAAAATATCTCTATGGAAATAACTTGAGAATTCGGATTTTGTCCTGTGGTTTCATTAGAATGGCCCTTTCCTCATGTTTGCTGCAGATCTAGACATCCTACCAAAGCAACGTGGGATATAAAGTATTTTCACGCTTCTGACACTTGACTTGCATGTGTTGGAGTACTTGAAGTATCCATTGTTTATTTTATTACATTTAGTTGTCTGTTTAATTTATCTCAACAATGAGTGCTTAAAACTCCCTCTTGCATGTCTGTAGAGCAGGAGGTCAACCTAAAGTTGAGTGGTGGCATATAAAGGCTAATAGGCTCTCTGACATGCACTTAGTGTGAGCATGCATTTTTCTTTACAGAAACAAATTGTATGGCTCATTTGCAGTAGCTAATATAAAGCTCCTCTTTCAGTTATCTTTCTTACTGTAATTGTCTTTCAGGAAAGACTAAAATGTTTAGATTTTCTGTGGCTTTCCACCACCTGAAGATAGGGATCCTATTGTTCCTGTGTAGGCCATGAATGTTTAATTTAATTCTTAAACCCAGATTCTGTATGTGTAGTAACACCAGAAATCTAGCAGACACATGGTCTACTCACAGGGCTAGCGATCTAGTAGTCTATGATCAGGTAGAAAAGACCTCATCTTTAATCATGGAGGACTGGGAGGCCAGATTAGCTTTGAAGTGCTTGAGTATAAGAAACTGAACATACTATCTGAAACCGGACACAGGAAAGATAGCATTATCTGAGCTTTTCTTCACAATTATTGACACATGAATGCATTTTAATCTTAACCTGTGACAGCCTTTGTCATCTCAATCTGGACTTGAAATTGCCAGCTGTGCCATCATCCTCTTTGGTAATTACGTAACATGGATAAATATCCACTGGGAGCTAGGACAAGAGCTCCAAAAATCTTTTTAATTGATCCGTGAATTAGACATAAACAGTGGTCTCTACACATGCATAACTAGAATATTTAACCATTTCTTCTGCCTTGAGCCTTCATACCTCCTTATGTGATCTTTTGCAGTTTCTTTTAGAAAACCCCCAAATAAAAAGGCTGTAAGTTACTCCAAACACGTTGAAGTAGTGTTTTATAAAAGTTTTGATTATTTTGACATCCTTATTGTACATGATTACATTTAATGTCCATGTACAGTCTGTTCTGTGTAGTCTGTTGGCTGAAGTTTGTCAAAGTCAGTATTGGGCATATGAAGAGGAGGGAAAAGGAACAGGATTTCTTTCATGTAATCAAAATGATAATATGTAACTAATAAGATTTCAAAGTGTGTTTGTTTATTTCTTAATAAAACACCTCATTTCTTTCCACTGCATGAACTTTTGCCCTGTTTTATTGTTCCAGGAGGAGTACAGTGCCCGAATAGTAGTGCCCTACAAGAAACGCGCAGCTGTAACGAACACTCTTGCACTGTGTATCATTGGCAGACTGGCCCGTGGGGACAGTGCATAGAGGATACGTCTGTCTCTGCTTTCAACTCCTCTGCCAGCTGGAACGGGGAGGCCACCTGTTCCGTGGGGATGCAGACAAGAAAGGTCATCTGTGTGAGAGTCAACGTGGGACAAGTGGGCCCAAAAAAGTAAAGATCTTAAGAAATATCTTCATGCTCTAATTATCTTTGGGTTTTGCTGTTTTATATTTATATCACCAATGACTTCATGCAAAGACAAAAAGATCCCCATCTTTGGGTTCTCATAAGGGAACAATTCATCTTTTAAATATACAAAACTGAAGCTACAGGATGACTGTGTAATACGTCTCTCACTATTGATTTTTACGGGTGGTATTTACAGTGGTGATTCTGCTGGCAGCTGACTGACTACTAAATCCACTTGGCTCCTTGCTGTCATCAGGTTGAATTGAGATAAAAGTCTTGGGGTACGTGTGTGGTGTGCAACGCAGCACCATTTCCAAGATCCTTTTCGTACCTCCAAGCAAGCGGCGCACTATATGGATTAGTGCAGTTCTGTGCAAAAATACTGTTTTGGATCTAAATTCGGTACAACCCACCTAAGTGCATCTTCTCAGAAGCAGACCAAGGAGGTGAAGCATAGTGCAGCTCTGTCAGGGCATTAGTTTGAGACGTTAGTCTGAACATTAATTTGACAACCTTTGTGAGGTTTTTTTCCCCACATGCATGTTTTTTTAAGAGATCCCTTTGGACCAGTGATTTGATTTTACAACTTAATACATAAACAGGGTTAAATACAGATTCGCTGCTAATAAAATGCATGTGATAATATCTTCATACAGGTTAGCAGTCTGTAAATATATCCCACTTGGGACAGATCAAAGCTGGAAGAGCTGATAGCAGAGGTTGTTTAGAAAGTTCACAAGTCAACTATTCTTGCACTAAATATTTGCACGATGCCTGCCATTTGTTGCTTTATTCAGCAGTGGACTTATTCCTAATTTAGTTTAAATAGAAATACGGGGAATAATACCAGTACATTCAGTAATCTAAGTTGCTGTATTTAAGTTGCTGTTCTATTCAGTCGTGATACCATTATGTGTTTTATTTGTTATCCATTTTACATTTAAAAAAACCTCTGATGATTTATCTTCCTTTCCAAATCTACTGTTAATGTCTCTGCCTTTGATTTGACCTTAAATTTTTGGGAGGAGGTCTGTTTTTTTGTGTCATAAATGAACCCTGTAAAATGAGAAAAGCAGCCTTGGTTAACCCTCCAAGTTGTTCCATTAAAATCACTGAATAATTTTTAAAGACCCAGACATTTAACATGAAAATGTAAATGGGAACCTTGTTTTAAACTCCCCTTAATAAAAAGGATTACTGTGGTATGATACAATCAATATTATTGGCCTTATCTACCTCACAAGTTACAGACTTGAGCTTGTATCTTTTCTGTTTAATTTGACCTTGAGTAAGGACTGCAGAAAAAAATCAATACTTTGCTTTAAGCCACATATACTAAATACTAACAATGTAAGAGATAGAAATAGTATCCCAATTGAACTAGTTGCCTTGTCCAAGGATCTGAAGAGGAATTGTAACGTTCAGTGCTCCTGAAAGATGGAGTTCTCAGTGAAACAGTGAATGTGTATAATTCAGACATTTGTGTATGCTTACAACTTCTGTTGTTCTCTAAGAAAAAAGCCATTAGTAAGCCAGTGTTCAATAATTTTCAGAATAATTTTTAATTTTAACCTTAGAGAAAATTTCTGAAAACATAGTCAATGTATGTGATTGGTGGCAGATGTTTTTTTTAAAGTGTACCTGACCATATATAATACACCCATGCATATACAATCTGATTTTATGAATCACACAGAAACAAGGCACAATTTGACTTAAAAATATAGAGAAAGCTTATGGAGAGGTGATGTAGATTTATGTTGCTATAGATATAATATTTCATGGTCTTTCATGTTGGTATTTTAGGGTAGAAAAGAGAAAGGGTGGAGCTGTCATTATAAGAGGCACCAAGAAGTTGGTGCCGGTTCACAGTAATGGATCATACTCTGAGAAGTTTATGTGAACTGACAGGAAAATGCAGAGATAACTGATGAAAATAATGAACTAAAAAGTGTTATTGCTGAAGAATATGTTCCTGTGAAGCTGCAACTCAACTTTTCTTCTCCTTGACCCCTTTTCTCCTCCCATACCACACAGGCATAGTTCTCCGCTGACCATGGAGACGACATTTTCTGTGTAGTTCATCATTAGACTTGCCTGTAATCCCTTCAGCCTGGCAAGCAAGATGCCTCGTGCAAGCCAAGCTTCCCCAGCTGATCCAATCCAAATATAAATCTGGTATCTCATCTCCCTGGTCCAAGATGCCCAGAAGTCACAAGAGGAAAAGCTAGTCACAATAATGTTTTTCTGCCATGAGCCAAAAGCTCCAAAATATAGACATGACATTTTTTCTTACCTCTTTATGTAATCCTCTGACAGCCCACATTCTTTGCACTTTTAGGGCAACAGTAATTTTGAAATTATTTTAAAGATTTGCAGTACTTCTGCAAGAGTTATTGTATCATTCTGAAAACAAGTATTTCAGCACAGAGAGTTGTTTGTCCTTGATAAAAAATTAGGAACACAGAATGGGGGAAAATGACCTGAGTTAATCAGTCCTCTATGTGGCAGTCCAATAATCCCTTTTATATGCTGATCAAGCCTCTTCCTAAAATAAGCAAGGTTTTCTGTCCTTTCTGACAGTCTCTCACAATCTCATTGATCTGGCAGTTTCAAACTCTTTTCTGGTTTCTGTCATAATCATGGCCAACTTACACCTATTTGTTCCTGGGATAGCAATGTTATTTAGTTTAAATATGCCTCCTTCCAGAGTTTATGTTACTGGAAGATTTATGAAGAGCTAAAAATGTATTTTGCTAAGCTAAACTATCTGGCTTTTCTTCATAATCATTTGGAAGCATGAAAATAACACTCAAAAGGCAGTGTCTGGAATCATGATTTCTTTTAGTTAAGTCCCCAGGTGTAGTATGCACCAGTTTTGGCTTGCTTCCACCAGCTGTATTTAAATTCTAACAGTTTTTACTTCTGAGCTCAATTCTGGTGAATTCTTGGCAACCAACACTCCCCCCGTGTGCCTCTCGTGATTCACCACTTCACTGCAGAATGATTGTTTATTTGATAATGCTGCTTTTTCGGGTGTTTTTTTTTAGATGCCCTGAGAGCCTCCGACCAGAAACAGTGAGGCCTTGTCTGCTTCCCTGTAGGAAGGACTGTATCGTGACTCCATTCAGTGACTGGACGTTGTGTCCTTCTTCGTGTCAAGAAGGTAATTTTATCCATTGTGTGCTAGTAGACAGATTTTTAAGAGAAAAAAGGAGTCAGGCTAGCAGTCACTGCTGGCAGAATACCTATCTCTTTCTGACAGAGGACATGTAATAGCTGGTAGAGCAGCTGCAAGGAGTTTCTGCTGAAAAGGATAGTTATTTCTATACATTTTCTATAAGCATTTGTTTAGTTTTTTTCCCCATTTTGCCTACTTTTATGTTATAAACTCCCATTTGCATCTTCCCCTGATAAAGAGAAACCTAGTCACAGAGCAGATGCTGATCTCTTAGTGTGACACCAAAACATACTTGTACAATTGCAGAAAATGTATTTGAAGAGAGAGAGGTGTTAATTCGTATATAATTTTGGCAAAACTCTTTCACTTTTGCCTGTGCTGGTTTATTCTAGCCCAATGAAAACTGAAGGAAAGTTAATAAAAATCAGCAGGCTTTAAGTTGATATTAATGGTCTGACTTAAACATACATTGCAATAGCATTATAATACACTTGACAAAGCTCTTAAAGCCAGTGCAGGTTTCCGCTGAATTTTTATTACATTGAAATCATAAATAAAGTGATGACTCATTTAATATTGCCCACATTTTTCTGCCTTATCTCTTTTTCTCTTTTAAGCTTAACAGGAGGCATTTTTATAAGATGTACTCTCATAGACAGAGTCTATAATACCCTGAGTTCCACAGGGTGCTAATCCCTGTGTTGGGACATGGTGATTACTCACAGTAACCATGTTATCACAATGTAAGATATTGTTACATCAAATACACCCACTTCAAATGTCATGGCCAATTCTTTATGCTTCATAAAAGACACAAGCATAAAGTCATTTTTGCACTAATGCCTCTTAGTGCTTAGTGTGTTCTAACAAATAAAAAAGGAGTTAGGAAGATTAAATTTAAAACCTTTGAAAAAGAACAGAGAAATAAGACCATTGACTCTGCATCTATGAAACAGTTATTCATTATTAAATACTATGTTGTTTTACAGCAATATTAATGGTTCTTTCTGAAATATTTTTGTTGGGGCAGATCTTCTTGGACAAAAATGCCATCCTCTTCTTATTTCTGTGGGTTTTAAGGAAGGTCTTGATGCAATGAACATAACTTCACATCTGTTGACTACAAACTATCATGTACGGTTCTAAAAATAGTGTATTTGTGAATCAATACAGGCCTTTTGTCTATTCAGTGAGTCAAGCACTTTTTCTACTACACAAACAATTTTTATTTCATGAGTTTTACCCATTCCTGTCAGCAAGCTCGTCAGCAACTTCGCTGGGCTGCACGTCTGTCTTGCCCCCTGTGCCAGCTCCTGGCATCGCCTGGAGCTGATTGACTCGGGAGTGGAGGGTTTCCTCTGCGTTGAAAAGCAGCCAGGTGGTGGAGAGCCACCGCCGGGATTCTCCTACCGCTTGCTCCTAATTACAATTGCTTGGCCATGGTCCAGCGCGCTTCTGTGTTCAGACAAGCTGTAGCTGCTGTAATAACCCACCCAAAGCTGATATCAACCCAGTCAGCCAAATGTCTGTGCTACAGCTCTCGGGTGGGGGCTGAGGGGTGAAACAAAAAAGAAAAAAAAAAAATCCAAGACTTTTACCTAACTGTATTTGTGTATTAGTTATTGCTATGGAATTAATATAGATTTCTGAGGTTTCTCTTAATGTTCTGCCTGAAGAACTGATATCTGAAGATGAATGGAATAAAAATTTTTACAGGAGCTATTTACTGTTCATCATTAATAATGAATGATTCTACTAATTAAAAATTGTGAGCTGTAAATTAAACCCAGAGTGGGAAATAAAACTTTACATTTAAATGTAGAGCATGCTCTTTTGGAATCTGTTTCATGTATCTAGATAGGGTAATGTTAATCCTAGATGGGAAATGAGCAGAATTAAAGCCTGGCCTGGAGAGAACCAAGAGTGTAAATTAAATTTTTTATATTCCTGGCTACAGAGATAAGCAAAAGGCAATCAGATTTTTTTCATTAAGTCATTTAGTAAACGGAAAAATATGAAATATAATAATTTCTTTCCATTAATTTCTGTTTCTGGTTTTGCATGCAAATGATTAAGGCAAATTTAAAATTTGAAACTCTAAAGTGTAGCAGCAAACTGAGCTGGTTTAATTTTCATTAATTTGACCTGGACATTCACTTTAGCATGATATTCATTTGTCCAGTAATGCTGCTGTTGCTTTCTGTTTAGTTCTGCTCCCTGGCCTTTAACTGAGATTGAAGTGTTTTATCTACTCGGCTTACTTTTCTGCTTATGGACAAAATAGCATGTCACTGTCACAGCGATCAACTCAAATACTTGTTACGTTAAATCTTATTTTTCCCCCTAATTACTGTCATCCTTATGTAGTGGCAGGAGAAACAAGCTCTTCTACTTTTTGCAGGGGATGTCACAGTAAAGAAGCAATCCCGTCACCGAGTCATCATCCAGCTCCCCACCAACGGTGGTCGAGAATGCCCAGACTCTCTGTTCGAGGAAAAGGAATGTGAAGCTTCTCCTGTTTGCTATAGCTACAGGTAGTGTTAACCAACCAGAGACAGCTCAGACATGATTTTTCAACTTGTACTACCTCTAAAGCTTGTTGAATTCCACTTCTTAAGAAAAATAGGATACGTTTCTAAATCACGGTTTCAGAACAGATACGTAGACTCGGTTGGGCATATAGTGAATTACTAGTCCATTTTATTCCAGTTCCTTTGCAGGAACATGGCAATGACTAAGAATTACTTTCCAGGATAAATCTTTCCTAGCAACCATTTTGAATATAGAACTTTATGTAAAATTTTCATAGCAGTTTATATTAATGATTAATAATAACAATGATTTAAGCAGCACAACAACATTACATTTGTTATGAAAGTTTTTTTGCAGGTTCTTTTTGTCTATGCTTTGTTGATATGGTCCAGGCCCATATTCACATTGTATGGGATCTTGTGGTTGACTCCGCATTTTTAAGGTGCTGCCACTCAGCTACCCAAGACTCCAGGTGCTCTGGGTTGCCTGAGGCACCCCTGCAGTCGTTTAAACCCAGTGTCCCAATGCTTTGCTGTAGCTGGGGTCTTTTTGCTTCTGATTTCTCCTTTTGAGATAGCATTTGGAAGATAAAACTTAGCAAAGGAATTTGTTTATTGTGAAAACTTTACCCTTGTAATCATGAAATTTGAGAAAATAAAACAAAAGTCCCAAGACTTTCCTCATCTGACCTCATCTTTGTTCGTAATTCCAAGACTTATTTGGGCTCCAAGCAAGGCAGAATTGTTCCCTTTGTTGTCCTGTTGCAAGGCATGCCTAAGGGAGGGGAAGAAAAGACCTGGGGAAGAGGGAAGAAGGAAAAGAGAAAGAAAGGCACTAACATGTAAATGTGACTGTATTTACTGCCAAAAGATGCTCCCAATAGTGCATGAACCAGAAATGAACCCTGGAGGCTTATCTCTGGAGTCTATTTGGGAAACTTCAACATGTCTTTGCTTCACTGAGATAGGTGTAAAAAAGAAAGGGAGGGAGGGAAAGTGAGAAAGAGGGGAGGTTTATTTTTAGGGGATATATTAGTGTCACTTTCCTAAATCCACTTTTCACATTTTATTATGTTACTTTGTTGACTGGTAAAATACTCTGAGCATGCTCAGATATAAATCCATAACAAAGGAATTCTGTTAAATTGGTATTCAAGTCACAAAATTTTATTATTTTGTATAGTTTTTTTTATTGAAATTTCTTTCTCACATCTTGTAAAAGTGTGTTAATGCTTTGTATTAATGTATAATCCTCATATTGTGGGTTGTTTTCACTTTTGTTAGGTAGTGTTAATGTACCTTTGTACTTTGAAAACCTTGAAAATATATATGGCTTGCTTTCTCTTGCTTCCTCCACCTCCTCTGTGCTTCCATGTGCTTTTAATGGCCTAATCCTTAAAGGAGCAAAAAAGTTGACAGGAAAGAGGGAAAATTTACAGTATTGTTACTGTTTGTTGTGAATTGGCTGTCACTAATTAGTAATATAAGCAATAGCTCACGGTGGTTTCTAATACTATCTAGCACTTCTGCTGCCTCTGTTTTGATTGCTACAAGTTTAGATGGATTGTTTGAAGCTGATTGCTTCCCCCTTCATTTCAGGTGGAAGTCCCACAAGTGGCGCAGGTGCCAGCTAGTACCATGGTATGTGCGCCAAGACAGTCCAGGAGCACAGGAGACTTGTGGACCTGGACTACAAGCTAGAGGTTAGACCCTTTGTTTCTGTCATTTATTCCTCAGAAATCTATAGCTGCACTGGTGTGTGAAATGCCTAAAATTTTGGTCATCATAACATTAATTTTACTAATCTTTATGTGCATCGGCAAAGGAAAATACTGAATGGTAGGGTGCATCCTAACCGGTATTTGACAAATGTTTTTTTCATAAAATATCAATATTAATTTGGTTTTAAGTATAGATACCACATTAGTGACTAATTTTATGGTATTGTTTGTTTAGCTTATTTCACCATCCTTAGCTGAAGCAAGTTTGCAGAGGTGTTTGTGGAAAGTATGTTTTCAAAAAGAAGGAAAAAAGAAAGGGATGGATGACTTCACATGCTTCTTTTGGTGAAAAAGGTTGTGTAAACTCACTTGTGAAAATGTGACATTTTTCATGTGGCAAGAATATGAAGATATATTTATGAGTATATCCATTAGACCTAATATAAGACTTTTGCTCCCTGCAAATGTTTGTTTGAAAATTTAGTATCGGAGAATCCTACAATAATTTTGAGTTGAAAGGATGCTCTAGAAGTCCCTTGGTCCAACCTTCTACCAAGAGCAGGGCCAGTTTCAACGTTAGATCCCACCCAGACTAGAGTTGCTCAGGGCCATGTCTCAACGTGTTTGGACTACCTCCCAGGATGGAGATCCTACAGCCTCTCTGGGTTTTTGCTCCAGTGCTTTGTCCAGTCTAGCACTGCATTTTTTTTTTCCCCTAATATCTAAGCTGATATTTTCCTTGTTGCAGTTTGTGTCAATGGCCCCTTTTCCTTTCACTGTATATCTCTGAGAACAGTCTGGCACTCTCTTCTCTAGACCCTTGAATTAAGTAGTTGTAGAGAGCAATGGGAGCATAAGGAAGGTAGGACTTTGCATTTACACTGTTAAAGTTCAGTGCCAGTCCATTTCACCAGGCTGTCAAGGTCCTCTGAATGGCAACACTACCCTCCGGGTAGGTATTGACTGCTCCTCTCAAACTGGTGTTGTCCCAAATGTGCTGAGGATGCTTTTTGCACAGGTTGTTAAAGATGCTAAACAGCATTGGCCCTGGAATTAACCACGGAGGTGCAGCGCTCTTAACCAGCTGCTGGTTGGACTTCAAAACCACTGACCCTTCGAGCCCAGTGATTCAGACATTTTTCTGCAATGTCCATTTGACAGTAAATAATTTTAGCATCCCTATCCAGCTTTACTGCCACCTTTCTTCATAGAGACCTTTGAGGATTTAACAGAACTCTCTATGTGTGGCTCTATTTCAGGAGACAGTTTTTTAGATGCATTAAATAAATTCAGTATGAAAATAATTGCAGTTCCTACTTACTGTGTTACAGTAATTGAATTGCTTTGAACTACTAGTCAACCCTGAATTCCAGGAAGTTTTTTTTTCTTCTGCCTTTTCTGAGCGCAAACTCCAATCCATTAAAACAATATTGGCTCAGCAGATTGTAAAATTCCTGAGCAAGGGCACTGCTAACTGCAGAAGTGAAACGTTCTGGTCATTAACTTTGTTGCAGTATTAGTAGAGGTTATGGTATACTTAAAGTCATAGAGTAAATCTTAAGCTAGTAACTCCTACCACAGAAAGTGTTACAGGAGATCAGTTTAGGGTTTACCACAAGATGAAACCTGAGGGTATTGACTGCTAAAACAAAAGACTTCTGGCTGTGGTAATTCTTTTGAAGGTCTGTCACTAATGCAGTCTATTTCTAGCAGCTCTGGAGGACACATTCAGATTACGCACTGAGAAAATAAGATTTCTGCTTTTGACAGTAGGAATTCAGGTAGTAAAAAATGTTGTCTTCTGCACATGCATTGTAGCACCTAAATCTCTTGACTTTGCCTCAGAGTCAGTTAATAAAGACAGACACTACCGCCTGCAAATTGTTTTTTATTATTCTTGTGTGTCATGAGACTTTGCTTTTTTAAAACTGTAATGTCAGTCATGTGCGGTACACACATATGAAGAGTAATACGTTATATTGGAATCGCTGGGCATTCAGTTTTCAAATCTGGTGAAATAGATTGGCAAAATTTCTGTCTGGTGCTACACAGAGTTTGATCTTGCAAAGGATGATGTATTCAAGCAGTAGTCTTGTTCCTACAAGCAGATATAATGGAAGAAGCTCTCTAGTGTAATATGGTCAAGTGGTAAGATGAGCAATCATTAATTAATGATTACTGGGAGGAGCTAAGCCTGAAGAAAGTGGATGGGTTTGGTAGAATTCTGTAAATGTTTCTGAGTTCAACTGTTAGAAAGGGGAGATTTTTGCTTTTTATTAAATCTTTCGAATGTATAAATTTTATTGTAGAACTCATGGAGAAAGTTATTTAAGTTGGATAACCAAAGATTATTTGTGCCTCAGTCCAAGCATCTAAACATGAATCTAAATATTGTCTAGCCTGTTGCAGTTGTGAAAGTTACAGGCATTAAAGACAGAGCTTTTTTTGGCACAATATTTTTGTAATATTTGAAAATGTAAGTTTCAAACACAAGCATATTATATATCATGTCTCACTGTTTTAATATCTGACAATGTGTTGAATATATCTTTTACTTTTGTGCTTAGTAATGTAAACTGATATTCTGTAGGAGCTAAATAAACTAGTACAGCTCTTCTTTAGATTGAGAAAAGTAAAATATTTTCTGGGTTTTTGGACACCTTTACAGTGAATATGATTTGGAACTAATAGTTGAATTTTTGCACAAAAGTAACTTTCACTTTGGAAAACATACTTCTGCAATTATAGAGATTATTGAGTGAAGTTTTATTCACTTCACACCTCAGAAAATTGCATTTTGAACATGGATAGTGTGTTTCATTTGTTTTATATAGGTTATCTCCTACACAGGGCATTATCATATTCCCTTTCCCCTCCTACACTTCAAATTCTGCCATGAAAATAGTCATATGTGAATTTTCAGTGGTGCACATTATTTTGTTTGGTCCCCACAAGAGTTGATTTCATGCAAGGTGCTCACTGAAAGGAGGCTGACCTGAAAGCAAGCGTACTGCCTACCCTGGACAGTGTTAGAAAGATTTCACCAGCTTCTCAAGGAAGACTCTGGAAGAGGGTTTGTCACCTCTCCCTGCTAATTCTTGGCTCCCTCCTGTGTACTTGGCCTGACGTAAATAAACTTTCTACAGGCTATGGAAAACTTTGCATGACAATATGTTTTTAAAAGTTCTGTACTATAAATAATTTATTTAAAGATTATTTTGTGATGGAGATACAGAAAAGACTGAACCACTACTGTGGAAGTCCATTTAACCACCCCAAAGTCAGGGGTGTTTTTTTCCTAACCAAAATTAGGAAATGTTAAACACTGAAATATGAAATTCATTTGGTATAACATTCTGATATTTCATTTATAATGTGATACTGGAATAAATATATTTTGAACAGATCATTTATCTGTTTGTTGGTGATTTATGTGCAAATGTTTACCATACTGTGAAAATGTAGACATAGCAGCATTTCCTTTTCAACTGAAAAAGACTTCTCTCTCAAATTTCTGATGTTCATAAATGCAGAAATCACACATCCATTCATCTGTTTGGGATAATTTTGGTGACAAAGTGAAACAATAATCTTATAGAAGTAATCTCAGCCCTTCGGATTCCTGTGGATTGTCCTTTCATTTTGCATTGACACTCAGTAGAGCAAGTAATTGCATTCTTGTATGTGAGAACAGTTCTCAGTTCCTCTTTTTCAGTGCAAGGGGATGTTGCCAATGTTATTAGTTTGTCCTATTTCTGATCTGATGGCCTACACACACTGTAATATGTAACATATCAGCAAATGTCTTAAATAAGAAAGAATAGGAATGTACACCAGGGAAAAGGCACATCTGACTATGCATTCATAGTGGTTTATTTTGAACAAAATAGTCTGCACTCTTCATATTTTAGTTAGAAAGATAATTAAATCTGAAGGAAATACTAGAAGTTAGAAATCAATAAAAATGACTGGTGAGGTGTCTGATCTTAAGAGTCTGTGAGTAACAAGAGCGTATGCACACCTTGCTTTATATCACAGCTTTACTATTTACATTTCCATTCTTCAGCTTTTTTATCACATTAGTCTTCCTTGGCAGAAGAGATACTTGGGTGAATCATAAAGTTGAGAGTAGTGATTCATTGTTAAAGACAGCTCTGTTTCTAGCTGTCTTGTAGAATGAAGATTTTGTTACAAATCATGTCAGTTTAAACAAACAAAATTAGAACTTGGGTCAATGCAGAGGAAAGAGAATAAAAGGGTTTGGTGTTTTTTTGTTTTAAGAACAAAGTCTTTTAAGAATTTTTTTAAAGAAAATGTTTGTTAATTATTCATGCAAATGATGAACAGGTATTTATATCTAAATCTAAGCATAGTAACACAGCATTTAATACTTGAGCAGAAAATTCATTGTCATGAACCTTATTTGAACAAGGCAGACAGTCATGACAATTCTGTTGAATTTCCGTGGTGAATGAAAATTTGCAGTTGTATCACTGGTAAAATGCCTTTTAGCAGCGGATAAACAGGGCAGGAATGTATTATAGAATTGCAGTAACTTAAGACATAACTGTCTCTTGTTCAAAACCCTCAAGAGGGGATATTATGGGTACATCAGCAAGGAGTTTGAAACTTCCCTTTAACCCTATCCAACAGGAACAAAAAATGTAGAGAAAAGCCATATTTTACTGCAAAATCATTTATGTTGTGTTTATTTTCATAAGTTGTTTCTCAATTAACAAGAGTAACTTGACCAGATGTCTTGAAGAGTCACCTGAAACCCAGGAGGGAGAGGCACAGAGTGCTGGCCATTACAATCTATGAAAAAAAATTACAAAACCTAGAAGAAGAGAGTAAATTCTTGATAAAGCCAGGCTACTAGTATTTGATGGGGATGTGGCCTATAAAAACTCACTGAGAGAGGAACTTCCTCCAGCTAGGGTGTGCTAAGAGTTACTACTGTGTATTCTTAAGGCTGACATTTA